AAAAGACTCTCTCGATGCACTCGACGACCACCTCGGCGCTAGACTCGAGACACTCCCTCAATGACCGACTATCAGCTTGCTAGCTGAAGCACACACACTAACTGACTGTGAACCAGCAGGCTTTATACGGCTTGTGTTCGGGAACATTCTGGTCTAAACCGGTAGAATTCATTCCAGGAGGTTCTCCGCCCATCCATAGTATATCACCAAATGGGCAATTTTGCACCAAATGTGGCAACCCTGCCTTCCCTTGCCATTCTATGGCAACCCTAAAACTGCTTTGCGGGGAAGCCATCTCACCGCGCCTGTACATTTCGTAACATTGCCCCCTCCCAAGGACTGCACGTCCCGGGCAGAACAACGCTTGGTCAGAAGCCAAATTAGATACAAACAAAACATTTTAAAACATACAGGTAGCATAACTAAAACAAATATTTACACTATGTACAAGTTATATACACAAATTAGACACATCACAATTTTAAAAGAAACAAATGCTTATACTATGTTCAAGTTATATATACAAATTAAACACATCACAATTTTAAATTATACAAATTAAAGTTCATAATTAAATTCAGTCTCAGTCTTTTCATTTAATATATACCCTAGTCAAATACCTTTCCACTGCAGTTCTCAGTGCATTTCTGTTTTGCATATCACAGTCTGAAGATTCAGTCCTTTCAGACTTGTCATCCACAGGAAGATGTGAAACAGTTTGTTCACCATTCTGTAGTTCATTCGCAGCATGCATACAGCTCACCTCTGTATTTTCAGCAGCTGGTGCATGTTCATTTTCCAGCATTTCTGGGAAACCAGCTTCAAATTCTGCATCAGAGTCATGAACGGAACCCGATTTTTCACAAACACAAGTGTCCAGGTTTAGAATCAAGTCCTTGTCCTCACAATCAGCACTATGAGACGCACACATAATTTGCGAAGTGAGTGAATTTTCTCGCAACACTAGAGCACACTGCTCAAGCTGCACATCAGCCTCTCCCACTGCATCACATGCATTTTCAGGTGGTTCAATATTCGCGAACTGCAACTTCATAACTTCACTATCAGTTTCGACGAACTTAACAATCACATTTTCACTTTCTTTCACTTCAGGCTCTTGTGAATTAAAAGCTTCTTTCCTGTCTTTTATTTCTTCATGTTTTGGTTGTTTTCCTTTAATCCCGTTAGATGTTTCATCCATCATGTCTTGATCTTTCTCAGGCAGTTCATTAGTTACTTCCTTCATTTCTTCATCCTTTGATTTTTCAGATGCCACTTCTCTCATTTCTACATCATCTTTTATGGCTCTAATTTCTTCTGTAAGCTCGACTTTCACCTGTTAGAGTTGCTCTTGGACCTTTTCTTGGCCGCCATTTATCTCTTCTCGTCGGCCTTTCTTTTGCAGTCCGGCTTTGATCTCAGCTGTCATTTCTTTATATCCAGCTTTTATCTCTTTACATCCAGCTTTTAACTCATCATATCTGGCTTTTATCTCAGCACATCTGGTTTTATCTCAGGCCTTTATCTCGGCATATCCGGCTTTTATCTCGGCTAACAAGTCCATCAATGTCTTTGTTTCCTCCGCCATGGCTTTCCTCTGCAGGCGGGTCACTGGCCTTCACTCACAAACCCCACTCCTGACACCAGTTGTTACGTTTTTCCTTTTCTGACAGCAGTTGTTGCGTTATTTTCTTTGTTCACGTTCGTACGGAGTTCGTGGATTTGGAGTGAATAACGACGACACTTGATGAAGTATCGAAACACACTTTATTTAGCCAATGTTAATCAGGACAGCTCTAATAACACTTTTTACAGTTGTCGGAGATCTACTATAAACACATTTGAACAATCAGTGACACAGCCTTCACACTGTCAGGCAATAACGGTGGAGACAGCTTCACTGCAAAGCACCCAAGTACAGCTCCCAACTCTGCTTGGTTGTTCTTGGAACTCCACGTACTCTCGAGACTCTCTACACGATGCACTCGACGATACACAAGAGTATAGCTCTCGACTCAGCACAGTCTAAGACAAAACTCGATGATGCACTAAAAGACTCTCTCGATGCACTCGACGCTAGATGTTGAGACACTCGCTCAATGACTGACTATCAGCTCGCTCGCTACACTGACTGCGGACCAGCAGGGTTTATATAGCTTTCGGCTTGTGTTCGGGAACATTCTGGGCTAAACCGGTAAGAATTCGTTCCCGAAGGTTCTCCATCCGTCCATGGTATATTGCCAATTATCTCGCCATATGTGGCAACCCTAAAACTGCTTTGCGGGGAAGCCATCTCACTGTGCCTGTACATTTCGTAACAATATGACTTTTCTGATCACTTGATATCTCTATTAGAATTTGTCCATTAAATTGCATTTATGAAATAAGTCACAGTGTGCAGACTTCATTTTACCTTTTTATTGCTAGACATTTTTTGTTCTTAAAAGTTTTTCTCTTACTATAAGAATATTTATACGTAGAATAAAGAAATGAGTTCTTTTCATATTTATATAAAGTGATAATCATCACACCTGTGCAAATGAAAGTACACATTAGCGAGCGAATGAATGGGTGAGTAGTAAATGAATGAATGCATACAATAACAATGAAGATTCTGTCAGTATTATTATTAAAATGAATTGGTTTTAGGGAATTCTAAAATTATTTTTATATTTTTTCAAGAATATTATCTTTAATACCTACTTCCAGCATTGATAGAAGTTGAGTTCAGTTCAGCTGAATTTTGTTTTCTGTTTGATTTTTGTTCTGAGGTCATTCTGAAGAAATTTTTGGTAATTGACATCTGCTTTTTTTTTTAATTGCATTTTCATCCATAGGTTGGAAAACACTTATGACAGTTTGGCAACAAAAATATGAGTTCACTTTATTTAAAATTTGGCACCTCATGGTATGCTATGTGTTTATTCACAATAAGCACCTTTCTTCTGTTGCATTTGTAAAATGTTTTTCGAAATACTTAGTGTTTCTCAGATATCTGCTAATGTTCTAATTACCCACTTTGACTTGCATTCATGCTTTTATCCTTTTGCCGTCACTTGCAGAATTTAATAATTCACAACTTTCATTTGCTTATGCATAACTCCTTAAATGCATTCTATACTAATTTGTAAGAGTTATTTTCGTGTTCTTCATAACAGTGAATATTTATAGATCATTAAAATAAATTTCTCACTAATGTATATTTTTCACAGATTGCTACATATGACTTAAGCTGTCACTCAATATGAAATTAAGAGCTTTTCAGTTTGAAATATTTTAAGCAAAAGTAATATCAGCATTTAAAGTAATTTATTTGATAAACACTATAGTTTTTAAATAAAAAACAGTAAGTACCGTAATTTCCGGAAGAAAGGCCGCATCAGCGTAAACGCTGCAGTCGAGTAAAATGGCGGGAAAAAAATTAAAATTGCACAGAAATGCCGCATCAGCGTAAACGCCGCAATAGATTAAATTGCGCATGACATTTTAAAATGTGATCAAGGTGACATCGTCGTGGGCCGTATAGATGCAAAAACTCAACCTCCTGATATATGACATACCAGTTAAGAAAAATGCATGAAATGAAACCATAACTCAAAAATAAATTAAAGGTAAGAAATGTATAGCTTCTGTGCCGTTTTGAGACATTTTCAAAAATTTTCCGCTCCCTTCTTACTTAAAAACTATCCAACAAGTACTTGTACCCAAACTGATGGGAACTGTATTTGGCAGAATGCCAAGAAAAATCCATTCATGCTGAAGGGGAAATATGTCAGAGTTCGTTATTGCGAGGCAGGTGGAGTCGTGTCCACCTTTGAAAAAAATTGCAGAAAAGGCAGGGGTGGGGAGAGGATGGGTCCTGGAAGATTCATCGAATCACAGAGGAGAGAGACTATTCAAACTGATGAGAATGTTGATTTGAAAGGGGAAAGAATGTTATTGTTCTGAGATCTCGTTTAGGGTGAATAAGGCATGTAGGTCCGTTCAAGGGAAAGAATGTAAACAAAATAACGTTTGCAAAAAGCAACTGAGTGGTCTTTTGTGTGGGAACAGCACCAGTCTATGCACAATGACAAGGCCATCCAAACTATGTACAATGACCATCATAGGAAATATTTTATTTTCAGTGCACCTAAACGCCGCTTGGGTAGAAAGCCGCACCCGCTGAAAATTTAAGTTTTAAACACGTAAACGCCGCGGCGTTTCTTCCGGAAATTACGGTACCTTTAAAATGAAATTTAAGAAAATTTGTGATTTATCTGTGACTAGTAGTGTTAGATTAAAAGCTCATTAATTGAAGGCATTTTTATTAAAATAATTTTTTGTCATAAAAGTAATTTTTCAGTGTGTATTGAAACTTTTCAAGTTATTAATTTGCTGAATGAATTCATATTACTTGTTAATTATTATTGAATTCATATTTTTATAAAAAATTAATTAGCCTTAATTTAAAAAAAATTTTTGTAATGAAACAATTTCCTCAACAAATGAATAAAGATGATCGGAGATGTGAAAATAGCTTTTGATAGACATACATTTTGTTTATTGAATTGCAGTAATAAGTTGATAAACTTTGAAAATTGTTGAAAAGTAATTGCAGTATGAAAAAGCTATCAAAGGGTGAGAAAGTAAAAGTATAAAAGGGGAAGGGAGTGAATTTGAAATATGTTTAAATATACTGGATAAGGTTTTTTATTCATATGTGATTATTACTTTGTTGTTATTCAGAATATGACTATGCATTCATTTTTAAGAAGCCTGTTGGTAGAATTAGCTTCAAAACATAGAAGGAATGTATGAAGGATTATTTGCATTTAGAATTTTATTCATGAAAGAACAGCTGGGTCATGTATTAGATCGTCTATCTGATTTGATATTCTTGCTGTGATGTACATTAAAACGATCACATAACTTTTATTACCTTGGCTAATGTGTTGAAATGGATGCATTCTCTAATAATTTTCTTGATAAATATTAAAATATTTTTCTTTTTCTTGCAGCTAATGGAATGAATGTACTGTTTAAATGTGCAAATCTGACAGCTCTTGAGGTAGCACGAGAATTTAATCAAATAATTGAAAAATATGATGTGAAAGAAGAAGAACCAACTTTTAAATTGAAAGGTGCTGTAAGAGATACTGGCAAAAGAAGAAAAAAGTAGTTTTGACTCTATAATTGTTATTCTTTTCAGAAGCAAATATGATGAAAGAATCGTATAAAGCTAATATCAACATTTTCAATAAAGTGTATAATCAGTTACCTGCTTTTGTGGATGTATTTGATGAAGAAACATTTTATATATTTGTAATATTCCTAACAATTGGGAGTTTTCTTGTAGCATTTATACTTTCTAGATTTATTACTATAAAACCTGTGGAATAAACAATGCATATTGTATAAATAAATGAAACAAAGTTGCATAAAAATCTATAGAATTTCAGGAATTTAAGTTTCAATGAATAACATTTTTTTTTTAATAAGTTTTGACATAAAAAAATCAGGAAACATATACAGAACTGCTGCGAAAGAAAGTTTAATCTTTTGTTTAGGAAGATGTTAGAAAAAGCTGTTCTATCTAATGAATTATCTAAAATGCTTTTAATGTGTAAATTTTATTGGTTTGAAAAGTAAAATAGCCATCCGCATCATTTCATTGTAACTGTGGCTCATTTAATTTATCAAGAATTTTTTTTTTTTTTCTTTTCTTTCTTTTTCTTTTTTTTTTAAAGTCAATACAGAAATCTAAATAGTATATTTGAGCTCATGCTAAATTATATATGCATTTCTCTTGATTGATACTTTTAGGCAATTCATTTGCTTTCAGTTAACCTATTTAATTATAGTACTTTTAATTAATTCATTATTTTCCAGTTGTTGAGCTACTATTCTCAAATTTATATGAATGCTTCAAGTAAAGCTAGCTGATAAAATATTGTAAATGTACAACTGACCTTAATGACTTAATAAGTTATGTATGTATCAGCTAGAAGTTAAGTTATATCATATATATATATATAAAGAAAGAAATTTAGAACCAATTTTTCACAAAGACCAAAAATTGAAATTCAAATAAATAAATTTCAAAAATTCCTATATATGTAGAATTAAAATCTTTAAATGTTATGAGAAAAATTGAAATAAACCATTGACTTCATATAACAGGTAGACAACTCATTCCACAGGGAATTCGTCTGCTAGCCGAACCCCCACAGATACTACGTGATTTATGATCTTGGCATTCTTGGGGAGAGATAGCTTAGGCTGTTCATCACAGGTTTGGTGCACTTTTGATATGGCAGGGAGTGCTTTTTACTTCTGTCTGCAGATAATGATCTCGAATTAGCTTATTCGTTTTTTCACAATTATTTTTAGATATAACTTAATGCTTTTTTTTCCTGAATATTTTATCTACATTTTTAATAATCGCTTTAAATTATTTACGTTCTTTAAGGTGTTTGGGTTAAATAATTTTAGGAAGCAAATCTAAAATAAATTATAAAAAACTGAGATGGAAACTTTATTTTTTGAATAACATTTAAAAATTAATTTCAATATTGTTATATTGAGGGGGTAAAAAATCTTAATTTTAATGCATTGCATTCTAAAGAGAAAAAGAAAATCACATTGTAATATGTGTACTTATGGAATTGATGAATAGATTAAATATATATTTAATTAAATATAAATTTTATTTAATAATTTTAGGAAGAAAATCTAAAATAAATAATAAAAACTTGAGATGGAAACTATTTTTTTGAATCATATTTAAAAATTAGTACATCGTATTATGAAACAAACTTGCAGGTCAAAGGGTGCCTTCTCGAGAAAAATGGTTAAGTGCAAATTTAAAAGAAAATTTGAGTGACTTTCAAATTAGATTGTTGATGATGGTAGATGGGAAAAAATTTCTACTTAAGGCAAAATTGATCAAAGTTACTTTGATTTTGCCATCAACAATTCTTTCTTCATAAAAATCTCAATTACATTTCACTGCATGTAGGTAAAACTTCTAAAATGAGCACCACCTTCCTTTTCTTGAGATTATATTACTGGAACAAAATAATGCAATCTTAATTACCGATTTCCACACTCATGTGCATGTCATGGGGAGGGATCAATGCATCTTGTTAACTAAAACAAATGAATATGTATCAAAAGATAACAAACTTCAACTCAGTATTTATCATTAGGAATAAAAAAATATGATATTGTAGTTAAAAATTCTCTCACTCCTTTTTTTTTCTTTTTTATGATTACAATTTAAAATATTGTAAATTTTCACATATTTTTTCAATTGCGATAAATTTAGATCATCTGTCTCATTTATTTATTATTTTGTTAAATTTATTATTAAATTATCATTAACAAATTTATATTAAATTATCATTTCATTAAATTTAGATCAGCTGTCTCATTCTTTCTTATCCACAATGAGTTGTAGATGAGACAGAATTATAGTCCAGATTTTTTTTTATTTTAATTGATTGTATAGAAAATAATGATAAAGCACTAAGCTTTATAAAAGTAATCTGATTTTTAAAATAATGCTGTTTAAATGTTTATGTTCAGTATTGCATGAATCAAGATTTTCAGCTGCTTTTTTTTTAAACCAAGTGAACATATTCCACAATCTTTTCTCAATAATTTAATAATAACAATAGCATTTTTCTTTTTTTATCGCAGGCAGTACTTGTTTACAAAACCAAAACGTGTATGACTTGGCGAAAAAGGTTAGTGCCATTTGCAGCTTTCTATTTCAACGGAGTACACAGAAAAAGAATATAAAATTCAATTATTTGTAAAGGGTGATTCCAGTAAATAGTGTCACATTATTTAGGACATTTTGATGCTAATAATACATGCTGAAATTGTCATTTACAGTGGCAATTGTCTTATACAATATTTCTGAAACTTTCCAACCAATTCAACAGAAATTATAAAATGACAAAAATAGTGAAAATAAAATAATAAATCATGCAGTTTTACCTTCCCTATGAAAGGTTACAGGTTCTCTTTTACAAAACTTTCTTACATAGGTGCTGCAGCAGATAACCATTTTTTCTTAAATTTTACGTAACAAAGCAGAGCAGTTGTCTTTTGTCCTGTAGAAATGAATGTAAAGCATTTCCGGATTTTCAAAATTCGACCATAAGTCACGTGACACCAATGCTGGAACCGGTTGGAGGTTGCAGATATGCGGTCTACCAGTATATATCTCATTGAAATAAACCATCACAAGTAAAACTAAAAAAGAACATAAAAGAAGAGGAATTCAATTAACTTCGATGTAATGTCGTCAGTAGGAGGATACGTCGAATCAATTCCAATTCCTCTTCCATAAGAAAATCCTTTCTTTTCTGTATCCAGAATTAGCTGATGAGCCATTCCAATATATTTTTTAAATCTCAACAATTCACCCAAAACTCTGGTCCTCCTGAAAGCAAGCTAAATGGTAAAAATACAAAGTAAAATTATGATGAAGATTTTCCTCTAATTTAAAAAGAACCTTTCCTAAAACTGAAGTCTTACCCATAAAACATTGAAAAAATCAAATACCTTTACCGAAAATATTCCTAAAAATTTATATCAAAAAGTTATTATCCAATTATAATTTTCTATGTGTGTAATGCTTTAACTGTGTAATGAGCTTAAATTTAACATTTTATATAATTTATTTACTTAGAAAGGAGAAAATGGAATCAGTTAAAATATTAAAATATTACTCATTAAATAAAAAATTGTCATGAGATTCATTACATTTTGAGAATTTTTCTTTATTGTTAGATTTTTTTCAAAAGAATTTAAATAGTTCAAAAGGTTAAGCATGCATGAAACATGATTACACAAAACCATTTAAGGATTAAAATACAAATAGCTAGAAATTATTTCTAGATTTGACTGAGAGGAAGAGTAATTGCTAATTTCAGTTGACTTGAAGTTGTAATAATAGCATACAGCTGTTCTTCAGTCTGATATTTTTATTGGAAATGCCTTAGGAATTCTATCATGATGCTGTTTTAGTCTTTGTAAATATCTCATTTCATATCATTCTTAAGTTCTTTCATTTATATTGTTTTGATATAGCCTTATTTTACATTCTTGGGTTTACAATTCATGATTGTTCATTTTGCAGTCGTATTTTTCTGAAATACTTTTTTCTTTAGAGACTAATACACTAATTTCACTGTGTTTCTTCTTTGAAAATACTTCCAGGATATAGTATTTAATTTACGAATTTTCTTGAAACTTGAAATCCTATATTAAAAAAAAAAAAAAAAAAAAAAAAAAAAAAAAGACTTTAAAAGTTGTCGAGATAATTTTTATCAGTAATGAAATGGTATTTTATACAAATATTAAATATGTAGAATATTTAGTAAAAGGTAATTAAATATTCAAATATGTTAAAACAATGATTTTATATATTACTAATTGAAGTATATGCTTAAAACATTGTTCATACCATTCAGAATAAGCAATTTAACTCATAAACACTCTTTATTTCTAAACATTTTTGATAAAATATTAAAATTTCATGAAAATCAAAGCATGAAAATTTCATTTCATGAAATTCAAAGTAGTCTTTCTGATAACATATTACAGTAATATTGTTTCCTTTTTAAAACATTGTAAAATTTATGCAAGTTAAAATTTCATGAAAATTTCATTTCATGCAAAGCAGTCTGCTTTTCACCTCTTTTCATTTTAGAAATTTACCTAAAGCCACCTAAATATGCAATCATTCATAATAACGTTTGTCAGATGAGAAACCTTGCACCATTTCCATTCTTAGCCCTTTCTTTCGCTTTGCCTTTTAAATAATATTTTGACCTCTAGTACAAGCATAGCCTTGATTGTGTTTCCTTCTGTCATCTGACAGTGATAATGATAAATGCGAAGTCAAGGTGGTCTTTCATGAAAATAATTATCACTCAACATTTTAAAAGTTCCTGTTCTATATATAGTCGTTTCTTCTATAACATTATTATGTGTAATTTGTGCTTGTGAAATGTACTATGCACTTTTTGTAAATTTTTTTAACCATTTCCATGCTATTATCTCTAAAAATACGAAATTTACTCTCTATATTTATTATATGTGTACAAAATATGTTTATTTTATCCTGAAATACTTGATCTCCTTTATACTGCATATATATATACACACACACATTAATAAGCTCAACATAATTTAAATTTTCACTTTTCCTGTAGCTTTAATTATTGCAGATAAACATTGTTTACATAAATAATCATTCCTCC